CTTCCCCGTCTCTAAAAGAATTTCCCTTATTGATTTTTTAGAAAATTAAGGGAGAGATATTTTTGTGTTGATATGTGATAAATAAAAATAAAATGTGATGATTAAATTATTAATAAAAAGTTATAATGTGATAGGTATGGTATAAAAAAATAATGGGTAAAAGTAATTTTTAATTGATAATGGAACATTTTTTGGGGACAGCAAAAAAATGAAAAAGAAAGATCTTTTTAGAATGGAGTTCTGTAGTATTTATACATGCAATGTGTAGATAATAGTATGTCATTGTTGACTTCCTTAAGTATCTATCAATCCAATTAATTGCACATGCCAATATCATTACACATTTCTAATGTTTCGATAATTCTACTTATAATTTTATATAATTTTTAAAATGTAATTTAATTTTAAAAAAAGTTATCTTACTTTTTTAGTATTTCCTCTTTGTATAAAAAATAAAGGTTTTGGTTTGCAAATCATAGTATTTATACCGGCAATGTGCAAATAATAGTATGTCAATGTTGACTTCCTAAAGCATATAGTAGCTAGCGATCATGTATATTGCACAGACGCATATCGTGTGATTCAATAAATCCATTGAGCAACATTACAAATGATTAGTTCAAAACAGATTAATTTTTAGAACTTTTTCAACTACAAAATTTTTGCATTACGTTTTTAGAGTATGTGTTTTTCTTATTTGTATTTATATATTAATTGAGATTTTGTTTATATTGATTAGGTGATTCCATCAATCGCCAAACAAGAGAAAATAAGTTAAAATTATCCGAACAAAACATTTAAGGCGTGTTGGATAATCTTTGGCTTTCAAATACAACATCGTGACCTCCCAGTGCAATGTCTAGCCTTTCACTTACCAAAACAGCTGAGCATAGTAATTACTAACAATGAAGCGTTGGACAAAATCCTAGCAAGGAAGACATTAAACCAAAACATGTTCTTCGGATGGGTTGAAGTGAATAAATTTTATGATCAAGCTTGATTCTTGATGTACGCTCATTTTCCACGGAATTTTGTTTGGAAAACGATAAAAGAGCTTGGGAAACGAGTAAGAAACATTTCTCTATTCATAGGATGGACTATGTACCACTTGAACTTGGTGATGTATATTACTTGAACTGTTTGTTGAATGTAGTAAAAAGACCATGTAGTTGTGATAAGATATATAAATGGAAATCACACATATCTACTATTTATATAATAATCTTAATTTTTAACATTAGGATAGGTTTTTTTTCTTTCCGTGCATCGCACGGGTAATGCACTAGTTAGATCTTCAAAAGTCCAAATGCATGAATTAAAAATCCATAAAAATCGAAGTGGAACACAAACATAATATGGTGGCAAAGCAATCAAAGATGAGGTGGGAGAAGTCGTTACTGAGTGGGATTCGAAGAAGACGGTCAGGCCGAGAGAAATGGGGAAAACCCTAGCAATTTGGCATGTACGGTCGCTCTTTATGTTGAGAGCGTGAGAAGAAGAAGCGTGGTTCCGGCACGCGTCTGTGGGATATTCTGGGAGTATATTAATAGGGCCAGGGGTCGATGATTTGAATTAAGTCATGCTTCCTTTTTATCCATCTCAAAACACTTTCTCTTTTCTATTAAAAAATACTTTTATCTCTATTATTTTTTAATTTATCTATCATATCACACTTTTTCTCAATGAATTTATACTCCCTCATCCCCCTATATTTGTCCACATTTGATTTTTGGAACTGTTCATCTAAGCACTTTGACTCATCAAATTTTCTCAATGTGTAAGCTTAAATATAGTCATGTGTGATCTTGTTTGATTTGTCTTAACATATAGATTATTAATATATAATTTCTATAATTTTTTAATATACAAATTACAAGATAAAATGGATTAAAGAAGTGTATTGGATGGTGTGTAAAAATGAAAGTGAACAAATACAGGGGGACGGAGGGAGTACATCACATCCTACTTTATTCATCACATCAAAAATCATTTTGGAAGGTCAACACCAAAATACACTCTCCTTAGATCATTTAAAAATCAAAATGGGAAGTGTTTGCGGGACGGATGGAGTTTTAACTAGAGTAGGGGTGTAAACAAATTAAATAATTTAAATTTGATTCGTGATCTGTGTTTGAATATAATGATTTGAATTTGTATAATTCAAATAAATTTAAAAATCTAAATACTACAAAGTAATTTTGATTCGAGTATTAAACAAATACTACAAAAAGAGGCAGATTCGATTTGAATGATATTTGAATATTAATATACACATAGACCATGTTTTCAAAATCAATAGTCAAGCAAATTCATATAGTGTAAAATAGATTAAAATTACTAATATTTCTTCAAATTATTGTAACCTAAAAATCGAGAGCATATGATTTTAATAGTTACAAATATGTTTTATAACATATCGTTTGTGTAAGACGCAAATCTATAAATATTTTCCGATATAGTATAAGACATATTGTAATTTCAATTATTCAAAATCAATGTTAATTTATCATACAAATAACGGAGTATGATTATTCTAATATTGGTTTAGGATTTGTTAGGTATTTGAATATTAATCAAATGCAAATACAAATCTTATTTTAAATTTGTTTCATATTTGCATTGGGACTCATGTTTGAAAAAATAAACAAATACTATTTCAAATATTTTGGTATCTGCTTCGATTCGATTCATTTGCAATCCTAGGTTAAAGTGGGGTTAATATAGTTTTTTCATGAACTAAGTGTGAGGCTCAACAGATACTGTAAAATTTCGCTAAATCTGCGACGGAAACATTCTGTCGCAAACACTCCATTTTGGTCGCAGATTAACAAATTGCGACGGTCATTTCTATACAGAATTGATAGAATTAGAATTGAATTGGAATTGAAATTCCATGTGACTCAATTCCATAGAATTGAATTCACCAATTCCAATTCATTTTTTGCACTATCAATTCCAAATTCACATGATTTTTGTGCTATCAAACACCAGAATTGCAATTGAAATTCTCTATTCCAATTCTCTATTTCGTGTATCAAACGGGACATTCACCTTTGCTTGCTTTTTTTTTAACAAATTTTAAATCTAAATTTTTTCACTTTTTTCAATTCATCACAAAAATCATAATATAAAATTTATAAAGAACGGAGGGGTAAATAATTAGTCTGAAATAATCTAAAACAAGACAAGTTCTCCAATTTTCTTATCTACACAAAAAATAATGTAGAAGTGAGAGTAGTGATGTACTCCGTATAAAATGGGGTACATTTTGATGGAGTGTAAGCATTGATTGCTTGAGGATTTGGGAGAAACAAACAAATAAATTGAAATTCAGAATTTATTTTTGAAAATGTGAATTGAAATTTGACAGTGACATTACACTGTGTTGTAGGCTCTCAAGCCTATTAGACAAGTGTAGTAGGCTCTCTATTCTAGAATTAATTCCTGATTAGTGCTTCTTTTGAAAATTTTGACACATCCCCGTACAATGATCACAATTATCTACTCCCTCTGTCTTAAATTATTTGCCACATTTGTATTCGCGAGAAAACATATTAAGATTTTTCAATTTATTTTATTCACATATTGGTATAGATATAAAAAATAAAATTTACATATCAAAAAACTATATGAAAAGTTCTTCGAAATAAGAGGTGTCAAGAATATTTTATTTTATCAAATAACCAATGAAAACGTTGAAATAAAAAAAAGTTCCCGCGACTGCTGAAAAAACAAATGTTGTGAATATTCAGGGACGGAGGGAGTATCATTGTATTTTTTTGATAATTTTGATCACAATTACTCTCTACGTCCCCAATTTGATTACAAATTGCGGGTTACGGAGTGAAATTTTTTACTTTTTGAAATCATTTTATTTATAAATTGGTATATCAATAAGATATAAAAATTACATATTAAAAAACTACTTCAAAAGTTCTACAAAACAAGAGGTGACAAAAATATTTTATTTTATCAAATACTTAATGAAATCGTGTAAACAAACAAAAGTTATCGATAGGAGAGAGGAAAAAAATTGTAATATATTTAGGGACGGAGGGATTATGAAAGAAGAATATTTAATTTTTATTTAAGTTTAATATTCTCATCGTCCCTAATTTGATTACAAATTGAGATTTATGAGGAGAAATATCTCACTTTTTGAAATCATTTTATTTACAAATCGATATATCGATAAAAATAAAAATTATATATCAAAAAACTATGTCAAAAGTTCTACAAATCAAGAGATGACAAAAATATTTTATTTTATAAAATACTTAATGATATCGCGTAAACAAACAAAAGTGATCGAGTTGAGAGAAAAAAATTGTAATTAAATTGAGAATGGAGTGAGGATAATTAAGTTTATTTAAAGATATACTTTTTATACATCAAATTATTCCTTAGATTTAAATATAAGATTTTATTTACAACAAATTTTGAATTAAATTCATGTTTAAAAAATCTCAATGATTTTATTGACAACAAATTTTGAATTAAATCCATGGTATTGGTGAGTCTTGAACATGAAATCAATAAAGGTATTATCTTTTTCAGGTGGATCGAAGAGTGTGGTTTGTTTAAACATGATGGCTGTACATATAATGCGATGGCGAGATTTTTAGGTATGTTTGGTTGAAGGCAGGTAAAGTAAGGTAACGAATTAAAAAATTGTGTTTGAATATTTATTAGATAATGTGAGCTAGGTAGAATAATAAATTTACTTGTATGCCCTTGTTTTTTTACTCAAAAAACAAAAAAAAATCGCAAAAAATAAAACAAAAAGTGGGAAAACAACAAAAAACCCAAAAAGCTGAAAATCAAAACCGAAAAAAACCCATAAAAAACAAGGGAAAAAGGTCAAAGCATGATATTTCAATGAATAAAAAACAGGAAAAAATAAAAAAGAAAAAAAACATAGCAAAAAATGTGAAAAAAGTTGAAAGGGTTTGAACTTTGAAGAAGTGGGGAGAAAGCAAAATCAATTCGGCAGTGGGGATCGGAGAAAGAAAGCAAAATAGACCAGGAAGAAAGCCGTCGACAATCAATAGGGTTTGAAGGCCTGGGGGAGATCCGCGAGATCCGAGAAGAAGAAACAGTTGCAAATCCGAGAAATCCGAGAAGAAATAGTCGCAAAAAACGGAAGAAGTGAGATTCGAGGAGACGGAGGAAGAAGAAGAAAAGAGGAAGAAAGAGGACAGGGAAGGGAAACACAAAACTTAACTCGAGTTACCGGAGAATCGGCTGGCGGGTTTTTTTCACTGTTACGCGGCTAGTCTACCTCCCCCTACCTTCGTCTACCTTCCCCGATTTGATTCCCCAAACAAGGTAACTTCTAAACCTCACCTCACCCTACCTTCACCTACCTCCAACCAAACACAGCGTTAGGTAAGAGGGGCTCAAGTGAGATGTTCTGGAAGGTTATGGGTGAAACGTGAGATGCCGGGTATGAAATTGAAAATGATCAAAGAAGCTGTTGAGCTCTATGCGTATGCAATGGCGGGTGCAAAGTAACCATCTCCGCGGGATTACATTTTTCTTTTGAAGAAAATAGTTGTTGGCAAGGATCTTGATATGGATCGGTTCCAAAAAGTTTTGAGGGTTAGTAAAGAAAGTGAGAAATTGTTAGCAAGATCCACTCTTGATTCTGTTCTGAAGTCATTGTCCAGTAATGGAAGATGGGAAGAATGCAATTAGATAATGAAAGCATTGAAAATATTTGGCATTACACCTGGCCACTCCCAGCAGAGTAAGATTGTGTATTATCTCAGTTTGTATGGAAAGAACGACGAGGTAGATGTGTTAGTGACCGATATGGATTCATCAGGTTCCGGTTTGAGTTATAAAGCATGGGCATCTTTAGTTGATGGATACTGTAAAGTCGATAATTTTAGCAAAGCCTCAGATGTGTATGAGAGAATGATCACAAAAGAAGGGCTTTCTCATGCCAAGAGGAAGCAAGAATCGTCAGTTTGGCATATTGTCCCAAGAGTTGAGCTAAAGATACGGTTTTAATAGGATTCTTTAGCTTGCTACATGTAATTAGAGCATTTTATTTCTGAATTCGGGTGGCATTGGGTGCCTATTGATTCATCTTTTTCCACATGAACTTCAGCTTCTTATTACAGTGATCTGTTGTTCTAAATGTAGACTTGCAACCATCTTCCATTCTTCCCCATCACCTGGTTCTAGATTCAATGCCAACACTTGATGAGAGTCCTTTTGTTTCGACGGAAGCTAATCAAATGTTGGTTGTCATTCTAATTGAAAAGTACCAAAGAGCCCATCCTAAACCTATCTATTCCTTCCCATTTTCTTTCATCAAACAAGGTAAGGTGGTACCTGGCCTACCTGCAACCAAAAAACATATTCTAAGTGGTACATATTTCATTTGAAAATAAGACTCTTCTCTTATGCAAGAGAGCAAGTGCCATTTTGATCTCCACTGTTATATGAAAACAACACACTTTTTGTTGGGATTGTTTTATGTAATACTATTAGGTAGCCCAGTTCCCAAACAAATGCCCTTGTGGGCTTTGTGAGATTGGATTTCAAAGGTATTTCAATTTTGGCTAATGGGTGAATAAGGAGTGTATAAGGATAAGTATGAGGAATGTATATTTGGAGTGAGTGATGGGTAAATAAGAACGTATATTTAGAGTTTACTTTCTAATTTAGTCCTTGATGAGATGGAACTGATGGATAGATTATTAGTAAAAAAAGTACCATGTGATACATAGGATAAAAAAATAGGGGTGAATAGGGCTGTCAACGGATAGCCAAAAATCCAATTACCGTCCGCATCCGTATTCGATTAAAGAGAAAATATCTGCATCCGTTTTAAACGGATATTATCCGTATCCGATTAAGGATATCCGATTACTAAACGGATACGGATTTGGTAAATGTATATCCAATCCGTTTAAAATCCGATCCGAATATGCATCCGTTTAAATAACTGTTTATCAGAATATCTGATCCGTAATATATAGTTTTTTCTAATTTTTTAAGTTTATATTTTGTTACTCTATTGATATTTCAAAGTATAAGACATTTTTCTATGCAAAATAAATGTGTAGACACATAAAAATATGGACACACATATAAAAATATGTGTATATGTGTGTTGTGTATATTTTTTTATCATATGAAGTTATCGTAGAATATCATAAATTATGAAAAGAAAGAAAATAATTGTCCCATAGCAGATTATAGTTGATTTAATAATAGTTTGACTTTAATCTAATTTAAAATTAAAGTATTATTTAATTTGATTTTAAAAATTGGAAACGGATACGGATATATCCGATATTCGACCGATTTCCGACGGATGCGGATACGGTTTTGATTTTCAGTATCCGTCAAGATCCGTATCCGAATTCGATATCCGACAAAAATAAACGGATACGAATTTGGTAATGGTACACCCGATCCGATTAATATCCGTTTACACCCCTAGGGGTGAAAGTAGTTTGTTAATAGAAAATGGAAGTATTTTAGAGAAAGTGAAAAAAAAATGAAAGAGTATTTTTAAAAATGGAGGGAGTACATATGAAGATCTACCATAGACACAATGAACTTTAGGTTTGTTAAATATGTTAAGCATATTTATTTATATATGTTAAGTATATTCCTTGTATCAATTATAATATATACCATAATTGTATAGGATCCATATATAATATTGTTTCCTTATTGTAAACCCCTCCACTTTGTATATAAAGGGAGGTAGAATCATTGTATTAATCAGAGAAAATAATAATTCTTCAATGTCGATGCAAGAATTTACCTTGGGTCAAATGTAAAATTTCGTTTCATGAGAAAATGGCCAATAAGTATATGAGTTTTTCATATCTCTCGATATCAGATATTTTTTTGTTGTTTGGTGAAGCATAAAAAAATTCGAATTCGATATCTCCAGATATCCCAAATATTTCAAATGAAGGATTTCCGCACCTCTCAAATTTGAGATATATGAATGTGGTAATTAGATATTTCCCTCAAATGTGGACCATCTCTTGTCACCAGCTATCACTCCCACCGCTAACTAGCCTCGTTGCTGGTGACTATAACCAATTAGTTATCGGATCACAATTTTAAATCTCTTCAATCAACTTTATTTCAAATTTTAGAACTTATATCATTTCTCTTAAAATTCTAAATTTATATCATATCATATCTCTAAAACTCATTAACAATTGATAGAATTTAGGATGAGGTATAGACAACTAATTTGAGCTATAAGACACTTAAGTTGAAACCTGTTTCGATAGAATGATAGAATTTAGGATGGGGTATAGGCAACTAGTTTGAACTATAAGACACTTGAGCTGAACCACATTAAAAGATTGAATCCAATCCATTAGCTAGTTCAGCTCAAGAGCTTATATACCAAATATTTTACTCTTAAATTTTTGACGTAGGATGCATTCTAACAACAATACTACGTACGGAGTATTAAACTTGGGTTTAGTTAGTTAGCCCAACATATAAGGCTGTTCGTTTGGAAACCGATGCCTTTCAAAGTTAGGATTATGGGTCCTCAGTCTCACTCAAATTCAGAAAAAAGTTTGAGATCTAAAGCTGACACACACGGTCAAGGCCACTGTTTGGTCACTCTCAGGATGGATGGATGGGTAGATGAGTCTCATTCATTTGCATCCAAATCATAATTTGTCATGATTGGTTTTTGATTCAGATAACTCAGTTCTTTGGCTTGCGTTGATAATGGAACGATGATATCCACGACTTTATTAAAAAGAGCTGAGTTTTGGTTTCTGTTTGTAAAATTGATGTGTGATTATTATGCATTGCTCCATCTTAAATTCCTTTAAATGTGTGATTATTATGCATTGCTCTAAAATAGTTTTTACAAGTGTTTGTTTTAATTAATCGGAAATGGAGTGGTTGGTATATCAATAGGATAAAGCTATTTGTACCCCAACTTTTGTACCCCACTTTGTACCTCGCAGGTTTGCACCAACACTTTGTGTTGGTGTAAAACCAATTTTTGTTAATGCAACAACACTTTGTGTTCGTATAAATTTTTGTTAATGCACCAACACTTATGTCGGTGTAAACCATCAAAATGTTTATGTATTACTGCGCTGTATAAATGGGGTATAATTTGTGGTGTAAGTGTAGCATGGCTCATATCAATGTTGGGATTGTTGTGCAGAAATTGACACATGAACTTGATCTGCACATGTCATTTGATGGACATCATTGTCTCTGCAATGAAGGTTATTTAGGCGTTTTCTCTTTGGACGAATGATTTTTTTAATTTGTACTCCCTAGGTCCCTATTTTGATGTCAAAACGTAGATTAAGAAATAAAATTTTATGACTTTTAAAATCATTTTATTTATAAATTAGCACATCAATAAAAAATAAAAATTACATCTTAAAAATTATTCTTTTACAGAAGCTGATATATTAATTCCCAATTTCGGATATATCCAAATTCTTTTACCAATGCGGAACTTACCGAATATCTGAATCTGGTCAAATCTCCGAAACCGTTAATAAAAAGTTTAAATGTTCATAAAACGAATGTTAACATTAATATCTAAATTTATAATACGGAGTACTATATAACGTCCAAATATTCAAAAAATACCGTCTAAGTACTAAATATTTATCCAAAATAAATGATTCGAATAAAAATATAAGTTCATAATCGACTAAGTATTGATAGTCTTTGATACACCCCAAAATTTGTTTAACATAATCTTTAATGCATCATAAAGGGGCTGTTTGATAACTTCTGAATGAGTAAATGCTGAACCAGTAAGAGGTCTGAACCATTAAGTGCTGAACCAGTAAGAGGTCTGAACCATTAAGAGCTACTCCCTCCGTCCTAAAACTTTCTTCCCAGTTTGACTTTTCCCCATTTTTAATTCTTGGTTTTGACTTCAAATTTTACCCTTCTTAAAAAAGATTTTTTGCAAATTTTTTTTACAATCATTCAAAATATAGAGTTAGAAGATAATTGGTGTAAATACATGAGGGTATTAATGTCATTTGTTATCTTTTTTTTCTAATGGGAAAGTAGTTTTAGGACGGAGAAAAAAGGGAAATGGGAAGAAAGTTTTAGGACAGAGGGAGTAGTATATTGTTTAACTATTCAGAGGCAAATGTCTGATCAATTCAGATAAGAGCTCTTAACCATTCAGACTCTGTATAAGGGGCTGTTTGGCAACTTCTGAATGGGTAAGTGCTGAACCAGTAAGAGGCCTGAATCATTAAGTGCTGAACCAGTAAGAGGTCTGAACCATTAAGAGCTAGTATATTGCTTAACTATTCAGAGGCAAATGTCTGATCAATTCAGATAACAGCTCTTAACCATTCAGACTCTGTATAATACTTAACCATTCAGAGGCAAATCTCTAAACCATTCAGACATCTGAACCATTAAGAGGCTGAAACAAACAGTCTGAACCATTAAGTGCTGAATCATTCAGACATCTGAACCATTAAGAGGCTGAAACAAACAGCCCCTAATACTTAACAATTCAGAGGCAAATCTCTTAACCATTCAGACATCTGAACCATTAAGAGGCTGAAACAAACAGTCCCAAAGTCACATGCCATTTTGCTTCCTTCTTACTCCTTCCTTCCGTTCTCAAAAACACTTTCTCTTTCATTTTTTACTTCCAACAAAACACTTCCCCTTTCTAGTAAAAAATCACTTTTAGTCTTACTTTTTCATATCTTACCTATCACATCATACTTTTTCTCTAATAATCTATCCATCACATCTTACTTTTACTCATCACATCATGGGCAAAATTGGAAGTCAACTATAATTTAACACTTCTTTATTTTGGCTCAAAGTCAAAGTAGGAACCTTTTTTGCAAACAGATGGAGTATTAAAGAAGCCCAGGCACCAAGGTTAGAGAGTTAGGGTGCAAGATATATTTTTGCATATATAGGCCATAATGGGATGAGCAGAAGATTATATTTATTAAAATAATTTTAATTTGGTATTTGGATATAAATATTCGAAAAAACGGTTATTTGAATAGATTCCGGATCAGATTTTAAACGGATTAGATACACAATTACCAAATCCGTATCCGTTTAATAATCAGATGTGATTAATTGCATACGCATAATATCTGGTTAAAATGAATGCGAATTGTTTCCATTTAAATGGATACAGATGCTTATCCATTGACAATAGTAATTAAAGTGTAATGTTGATGCATGTCCAAGTTGATTATGAAGCAGGCACAGGTTGGTATGGTGGTGCGGAAT